CTTCTCTGTCCTAAAGGAACTACCATAACATTAAATAGTTTACCAGAAACTACCAAAATCTCTCTATCTCACAATGAACAGCCTAAAAAAAAAAACGTTTAAAAACACTTCATCCTTTAATACACATAAGCCTTCTCAAACTAATAAATTTGTTGAAAATCAGTGACCTCATAAAACGTACAGATAACAATGAACACTGTCGACATATCTCCAACATTGTTAATCTTTCAGATATAACTCTCTCCAAAGCAGAACTCAGTCTTCTTAGTAAAGGTCTCAACTTCTGCCCAAATAGCAGCTATGTTAATGAGCCCAAACTTCTTTCTGGCCTTCATGAATTCTCTAGAAAACTAAAACTTTGAGAATTTTCTCATAATAAAACCCACCCTACTGAAAATCAACATACAGTAAACTTTAAAGAAAAGTGTTTATGGACACATCCACCAAACAGAGAACCAAATTTAGAGAGTTATATTAAAGCAGTAGAAAATGACACAATACAGACCTTAAAATCTTCCAAGCAATGTCACAATAATATTAACTAAAATGAAAGAAGTGCTTTAAACAATCTTAAATCAAACAACAATATCATAATAAAGCCAGCAGACAACTGGCATAATTGGAAGCCACTTTGGTACCCATTGCAGTACTGTTAACCTGAATGTAATACTCATTATTGAATTTGAAGTTGTTCAAAGTTAAAACCAGGCTGGCAAGATCAGTTACTGTTTGAGATTATGATTGTTTAGAAAGATTTAATGTGGACTTTAGAGTTTGTAGTCCTTCATCATGTGGAATATTGGTGTAAGAGGAAGAAACATCCATCATTCAAAGAAGACTGTTGGGGGGTAACTGTCCATTAGTATTAATATCTTCTGTAATGTTAAGAAAGTGAGTAGTATCCTTTAATGTAAGAGGGGAGGGTACGTGGAATACTTTTTATGTGTTGGTCAACAAAAGCAGACAGCTTTTCAGTAACCATGTTTATATGAGAAATTATGGGTCGTCCAAGATTGTTTGGTTTGTGTATTTTGGGTAAGAGACAAAATCTACCAGGAAAAGCTTGTCTGGGTATCAAATACTGAAATGTCTCTTTGTTAATTTTACTGTTTTGAAGAAGTTATTTAAGCTTATTAGTTATGGTCTTAATAAAGTGAGTTGTAGGATCATGTGAGTTTTTTGTAGAAATTAGTGTCTTCTAGTTGTTGGTTAGCTTCCGTGATATAGTCATCTTTGTTAAGAATAACAATAGCTTCACCACATTTTTATGGGTCATATTGAAAACCAGCTCTTACAACTAAGTCCTATAAAACCTCATACATGGAAATGTAACATAGATGACATATTTTTCATTTGGATAGCTGGTTTTAAATCACTTAAAGAATTAATCTCACATTCAAACTACATTTACAAAACGATCATGTTTACCTATGATTGCTCGCTTACCCAGATTAACTTTCTTGACGTCACTGTTTTTCTAAAAGATGGAATTTTACACACTGACTTGTACAAAAAACCTCCAGACAGACCACGATATCTTCACTATAAAAGCTGTCACCCCTCTCACACTAAACGAAACATTACCTACAGTCAAGCTTTTAGAATAAAGTAAATATGCTCAGATGAAACAGACTACAGAAAACACACCAAGAGGATATAAAGATACTAAAATTGACAGACAAATTGAAAAGGCTAACAACACTCAGCAGAAAAACATCCTAAACTTACAAATAGAATTTCTCTTATTACTGCCTATCAGTTTAAACTCAGAAACATTTTGTGAATTCTGAAAAAACATGTTCATCTCTTACAACTGAACAATTGCCTTAAACAGATATTTCCTGAACTTCCCATTGTCTCCTTCCAAAAGAGCAGAACTCTAAAGGATATCCTTGGTCACACAAAAGTGAATTACGTCCCACCCAAAAATGTTTGTCGTTCATGTAAGAAAGCCCATTGTCAAACCTGCAAGTTCAGAAAAACCACTGACTCATTTTCTGACAAGCACAATCAAAGAAACTTTAAAATATCCAAAGAAATGACTTGTGAAACAAAAACCACCATTTACTTTATACAGTGTAAAAAATGCAATTACCAATATGTAGGACATACACAAACAACTCTTGGAGAATGTTTCAACAACCATTACATTCTATTAACACCGAAAAAGATCTCCCTGCTACTCAACACTTTAACCAATCCAGTCATTCCATTAACGATGCTACTCTCATCGACATTGAAACAGGATTCAAAACTAAAGAAGATAAAGAAATAAAAGAAGCTTATTGGATTGCTAATCTAAACACTGTTTAATCTTTCGGAATTAATCTAGATCTTGGAATCAGTGATCTCCGTTCATTGGTTTCATCTGTCAGAAAAATAATTTTTATTCTTTGCTTATTTTTTTCATGTAATGTGAATGCTGAATTTCCTAAAACGTACTATTTATTTAAGATAATTATCCATCCCTGTTTTTATAAATTGATTAGGATAACATATTTTCAATCAGTCTCCAGGTGTCACCTTTATTTTACTTAAATACTTAAGTATAGTTTTAAATATACATATATTTATCTATTTGTAAAGTATTGGCTACACTGTACTGGAAATGAGATGCTTACAACAGTACATAGAGAAATAGACTAAACATTTCCTGGAAAACCAGATGACCTTCAGGACATCACTAAACTCCTTTTATATATATATATATATATCACTCATTCAATTACACTACCATTCCCAGCTTGCCCCTGAAGAAGAAAGGTCCACCTTTTCGAAGGTGCTCGGGTTATAGGGTTTTTATTCATTTCTATCAAGACTTCTTGAACCTACGTGTTTTTCAAACATCATGAATGTACAACCTTCTGGTTGCGTGTTTTTATTGTCAGCATGGTTCAAACATAAGGTTTAGAAATCTGAAGGTGTTGTCATAGAACTATTACGTGAAGTCTTGATGTGGTAAGTGTAATTAAAGTTAAGCAGTCTGCTATGTAGATAGTATGGTACTGTATCATTAATAATCTTTAAACGTAATAAAGGGGAACTTACTTTCAAACTAAATTGGAAAAATAATAATGAATTGTTGTATTGATTCTTCATTTTTAGACATGTGACAACTACATTGTTTAGAACACATCAAAATATTGGAAAGAAATAAAATACTTGTATCTGATTAGTTGAGAGATTGGGAATTTAAGATCTATTAAAGGTCTTGGTGATTCTGTAATGATGTAAAGTCAACACATTTGACAGTGCAACATTTTTTCTCCATATCTTGTTAATATGTGAAAACAAACAGTATTACACAGCAAAATTAGAAGTGTTTATTCAGTCTTGCTATAAATCTAAAGGTAGCATCAAAAAACAGATTAAAATAACAGTTCCTGGATATTGTTGCTAGTCTGTATGAGGCAGAAGCCTCAGAGCATTGAATATTTCTGTCCCTGGCTGTCAGTAGTGATGTAAAATTACCATGCTGTATTTGATAACAGAACTGTGTTACAAATCCAAGGAACCTTGAAATACCATTTTCTTCCATAACATTGGATATTTTCTCAGCCATGGATTTACCCATATTTCATGTATATCTTGTGCTTATGGTATTGTAGAGAGCTGGTGTTGGTATTTTAATTATGGAGTTTACCATTGGTTTATTACATAAGTTGCTCTGATCATCTTACTGAATGCCCTGTATATATGGTTTTATCTTTATATCATGATCAACTTTCTTGAGTTCCATATGTTGTACAGGTTTTGATGGTTGATAATAGGCTGTATGTCTACTGAAAAAGCAGCTGGCCACTATGGTATTTTGATCACATTCAGTGGCACATCTGTACCATGATTTGTCTGTGTTATTGTCATAATGTCAACAAAACTTCCCATGTTGGAGTTTGAGCAAAGTGGATCATGTACACAAGTCTACTGCTACTTTCTTGCTTATTAACACTTGAGCCTTTGTTAATTTTCATGTTAAAAAAATTATAACTTTCTTAAATCATATTTTCTTTCTTGTTACTCATTTTTCAAACATTGAATGCATAAATTAATTACAGTTGAAAATCTTTGAATTTTGATACTTTCAAACATTACATACATGATTATCCTTTCTTGCATAACAATTTGTATCGTGCTTCATATCAATTAAACCACTAAACTCGCAGACTGCATTAATGATTACCTCAAAAAGTACAGCAGCTCAAAGAATTTATGTAAGCTGCTAAACTATTTCTTTACATCTAAACAATATCACAAGAATGACCTGTAATGTTCTGATATGTTCCCTGTTTGAATGATGGTGCCATCTGATGAATGTAATGAAAATTATTTGCAAAATTAGTTCAAGTTTTCTTGACTAGAAAGCAACTCTCTGAACAAAAAATGATTGTTGAGGGTACTTGTAGATTGTATACTTTGTCTTTGGTATGCTTTGTACAAGTCCATTTAAGAAATAATTTTAAGCTGTCCTACCTAGGTAGCATCTATAGCAAAGTTTGCACCTAATTGGGGTCTAAAATAGTAATAAGTAAAATTTGTACCACTAATACTACATATTTATATCACTGTTTGCACTAAATGACTGTGTGACCAGCTGTCAATAAAGTTTGGCTGTTAGTAAGTACATTTGTATCTTCTGATTGTTTAGTTTGACTGTCAGTAGTTTTTGTGACCTTCTGAATGTGTAGTTTGGCTATCAGTAAGTAACTGTGACTTTATTGTGTAGTTTTGGCTGTCGATAAATATTTTTTTTGTTACCTTCTGATTGTGTTGTTGGCTGTCAGTAAATAGTTTTACAACCTTCTTACTCTTATTTGTGCATTTAAAAAGATATTTTTATTATTTTCATGTTGTGGTTATATTGTTTATGCAAAGTTATGTTTACAAAAATAACTACATAAGTAGCTCTTTCAATATGTTAATAAATTTAAAGCATAGGGAAAGTTGTTAGTTTTATTAAAATAATCTAGCATTTTCTGTAATGTTATTGTTTTTTTTTATAGTCTGGTAGATACCGCAGTACAATGGAAGTAGTTGATGATATGAATTTGATGTTTGAAAATGCTCGGAAATATAATCGTCCAGATTCCAAAATATTCAAGGTGAGTCAAAACTATTATAAATGAGTTAAGTTTTCTTGTTTCTCTTACTGATAATGACATAAATCAGTGTCAGTGTCATCAAGTTTTAGAAGAAAAAACCTTATTACATATCGGAGAAGCTGTAGATTTTGAAGTATAAGAAGATACCACCATTAAGCAAGAAAATCTAACTTGTAGATAAGAACCTAGTGAACATAATAATGCATGATGGTAACTCATCAAGCATCTATATTTAGTAAAAAGGTGAGTGACTTTCATAGAAAGAACACATTTTGTTCTTCTGATAGAACTTTGTTGTTTTTTTTTAAATAATGTAACAAAAAAATTCTTAAAATGGCTTTTTTATTTTTTGTAAAGGGAGTAAAGTAGAGAGTGTATAAAACTGGTTAAACCATTCAGAAATAATCTGATTTCTAGATTTTGAATTACGTAGAAACAGTACAAAAATGACTTATCTATCAGCCAAAAAACCTGTAAAAGCTTAGAAAGCAAGACTTCTGAGTCCTTGAGGTTAGGTTTCAGGGTGAAAAACATATTGTATAGTGTTGATGCTGTCCTCCATTTAAAGGATTTATAAATAAGAAGTTTCAGCTTCAAATACAAATTTCATAGTAAAAAAAAACTGGAAACAATAGTAACTATTAAATAGATGTATGTACCGCTTTAGATTTTGCTTAATTTCACTGTATTTTAAGCAGAACACACTTCTGGCAAGACTTTTTTTTTCTGTAAGAATTTATTTGTTATTTTATAAGCATGTTATACACTCTGTGTTTTAGCTTTTGTTTTTCTTTTGTAAATTAATTCAGCTCTCTTGAAAAGCTACTTATAATTTTCTTCTACTTTTGGTACAATATTGAGAGCATGCTATTAGAAAAATATTATTTCTCCATGCATAAGTGTTGGCTGACATGCAAAACTACTTGAGTTTGCTACTTTTTTTTTTTTTACTAAGTTTGTTTCAAAAGATGTACTTCTGAAAAAAAGAAAGTTGTGGTATTATTATGACATATTTATATCTGTTTTAAAACTCACTGACCACAAGAAGAAATTGTCTTAGTAATACTTGAACTCAATTGGTAATTCAGGAGGCCCTAACAACACTTTTAAAAGTTTGATTACATGTTTCCAGAATTAATCATATTATTATATATGACAGACTTTTTTGCCAGTTACTTTAAAAGATAATAATTAGTTTCTGTAAAACTTAGGGATCAGTTTTGTTTGTCATTACTTGATAAAAATGGATACATTTTGGCAAATGAGATTTTTCTTCATACTAGTACTGAATAGTGCTATGTAGTATAAAAATTACTTAGTAGGAAAATGATGCAGTAAGAAGTAAATCTAAACATAGTGTATAAGACAGTTCCCAGTCTCATGGCATTTTATCTGTATACAATGAATTATTAAGTAACACAATTTTTTTTATTGTATTTTGAGACTGGGGACACTCTCATTTTTAAATATTTATTGTTTACTAATAAACTTTGGCTTTTTTCTTTAATACACCAGTAAATCTTATAATTATTTTATTATCTTTGGAGATTTAACTTAAGTTTTTTATTTTTTCTGTCAAGCTGACATTTTTCTCAGTACTGACTGTAATTATTTGACCAACTAAAGTTTCTCTTATTGTTTGTATTTTTAGAGAACTTTTATTTGTGGTAATTTATGATTAGTTAATTTTTCTTTCAATAGAAAATTCAAGGTAATTGATCAAGAAGATGCCAACTGGTCAAAAAGGCTGGCACTATAAACTTTACATTTTTCGTAAGAAGTTGAGTGTAAAGTTGTACATCAACTAATAATTTCTAACTTCTGTCAAATGAAATATGTCCTAAAGAATATCGATTGGATTACATAATGATGCCAGACAAAGGCCTCTTCTTCTTCTTTTTCCACCTCTATTTTTTTTTCAATATGTATGTTATTCATAAGGGATGCAAGAGCAAAATATGATATTTTGTAAAATTCTTAAACTTCTGTAGAGAAAATGAAGGGAATAAGACTTTCAGTTATAAACCTGCTTAGTTAAAAATTTTCTCGTATTGAATAGTTTTCTAAAGAGTGCTCCTGCTTTCTGGCTGGCTTTGGAGACAACATTTCAAACTCTTTCATCAAGAAAGTTTTTTTTTTTTATAGAGGTACAATAGCATGGTCTAAACTCTAAAGAGAAAACTTAAAACAATGATGACACCTGATTAACTGTGATGATTTGATTCAGTGCTTTTTTTTTTAATTTTACAAATTAGTAGATGAGTTTAGAAAGCTATGTAAACATAGTCTTATAGTTTTGTGTACAGATTGGGCCTGGAAGTAGTTTTCTAATCCAGTTTTCCATTTTATAAACTATTGTTCTAAACACTGCTGATTTCCACATAGTCTGTGTTAATGTTTGGTTTACATAATATTATTCTGAGTACTTTAATCAGTAGATTTTCCAGTGTTCTTTGCTGTCCAGCATGTTATTTACCCTTTGTTTTGGCATCCTCTGTTGTGAGCATGTCACTATTCCTTTGAATTTTCTCTGGACCATGCTACTGTCTATATATGATTATAGTTACATGTTAGAGCACAAGCTTCTCTCCCTCCAATTATGAAGTCATGTTGCAACACGTTTGTCATTGTTCAGGCCAAATAGAGTGGCACTATCCTTAATTACAAACCACCAACTATGGGAGGCAACCAGTCAGCAACTAACTACTGCTTTTTTTTATGTCATTTACTTATTTATTAATTAATTTACTTTCACTTTCTTTATTATGTATTATTATTATATAATGTAAATAAGAGTGGTTGAACTTTTGATATACAGAAGTATAGGTCAAGACTACTAATCACTGCTTGACGCTACAGCAACAGGGCAAATAAATGAAAGCCCAACCTAATATCAACACCATGGTGCATAATTTAACAAAATAAACCAAATTATTCCAAGTTAATTAGAGTACTTATAATGAATTAAGAAGAATAGTAATATTTTTAACTACAAGTCATTGAGAGCAAACAATATATAGGCTTAACGAAATAAACCAAATGCTTCTTATCATTATAATCTAATACAACTTAATTGTTTTGTTTTCTAAGACAGTGAAGTTAGGTATTTTACTTAACAGTAAATGAGCCAAATGTTGCATTTTGCCATCTTCTCAGATGTCTCAACAGTTAATATATAGGCCTCCTAATTTATTATCTAACATACCTGTTTGACACTACAGCACCCCCCCCCCTCCCCCAGTGGCATAGCAGTATGTCTATGGACTTACAATGATAGAAACTAAATTTTCGATACTAGTGGTGGGCAGAGCACAGATAGCCCTTTGTGTAGCTTTGTGCTTAACTACATACAAAAACTACAGCAATGGGCAAACAAATGTAAGCCTAATTTAGTATATAATTGTACAATCTAAGTAAACTGATCTAATTTGACTATTATATTCTCAAAATTAATTAAATATTTGTAAGAAATTAATAAGGAATATTAATTGAATCGTAAATGAAAATCACAATTCCAAGAGCTCAGCTGTCAATCATCTTCACTCTCCAGCACCCTCTCCCCTGAAATATGACCATATGTGCAAAACCCTTCCAAATTAACTCCTCAAACCTGATTTACAAAAACCAGCCACACCTCTAAGTTTGGAGATGTTTCACTGTATTGACTAGTTTCCTATGGATTGTTCTTGCAGAACTCTGTGATGAGTTTTTCAGTTAAGTTTGTTTAAGAGTTACTTCATTTGGCATTTAATACAAACATTTAGTGCTAGGCATTTATCAATTTTTATTTATGCCAATAAAATAATGTAATAACACTTAAATATACTCTTAAAATGTTTTTAAAACACCCTTTTTAACAGTGTTTATTTTATATATCTATATTTCAAAATAGAAATTTGAATAGAGATATTAAATTACAGCCAAAAGCTCAAAAGCATGTATTGTTAAATCTCTGTTTTGAAGGGTTTGTTTAGTTTGTACTGTGCTAACTAGATGTATTTCTCACAAATGATGTCACTTGCCAGTTGTCTTGCTTCGTATTTTACTGCTAAGTAATGCTGCAATATTTCAGGTTGACTTTCGAGCTCTTTTACTAATTTTATCTTTTCGTGAAGTGATATATTGTTGGTTTTCTCTATGTTTCATGCCTAGTATGCAGTTCATAGGATTTGTTACCATTATGAATACAAACTAACAAATATGTGATTAGCATAATTAACAGTGTGTTTTGCTCTGGTTTTAACAGGACTATGCTGAAGTTTATACATATGTATGTATGTATATATATATATATACAAATTACCAAAATTGCTGATTAACCAGAATATTTGGATTAATTTGACAAAAAATAACTATAGATTCTTAGAGAAACCAACCTATCTCTGGTTTAAAGAGGTGACCAAGGAGAGTGTTACTAATATTTGACCTTCACATTATTCATATTAATGTCAAAATCCTAAAGGTCACATGATTACAATTAACTGTGTCTCTGTGCTGTTAAATTTTTCAGTACTGGATAGTTAGTATATTTTTCTCTAAGTTTCCAGATAAATATTAATTTAGATAAAATCACATTATGTTCAGCACTAAACAGTATGCTCTTGTAAGGGTTTGTGTTATCAGCATTTGTAACTAACAATTATAACGTTCTTATTGTATAAACAGTTTATACTGCCAGTCATTTTAAATTAAGTTACATTGGTAGTTGATAATTAACACTCATTTGCAATCAGAACAAGCTACCTACCTAGAGTGAAACCAAAACTCAACCTGGTAATTACTATAACTAATTAAACATACTTTCCTAGCATTCTTTCATATAAAGATTAGAATGCATTTTTTTCATCAGTTCAGTAGTCTTGCTGGTAACAGTATTTTCAGCCTTAATACCAATAATAATCTTATGAGATTTGGCCAGCTCAGGAGAATTAGATTAATCAAAACTATATATATATGTGTGTGTGTGTATTAAACTAATAAATTAAAACAATCTCTATTATGAAAGTATAAGAATAAAAAATGCTATTAAGAAATAATAAAATTAGAAATAATAAACAGTTTAACCAATACTGTTAAAAAGAGTAAAAATAAAGAAATCATATAATATATTTTACTTAGGAAACACAATGTTATTAAATTTCATAAGAAAGTTTTACTTCTGTAACACAGAGGTTGATCTTTGGAATGGATTGCCTTCATGTGGTGGATGCAGTACATTTATGAGAACTTAAGGGAAGACTTGATAAATATTTGAATGAAAAGGGCTGTCTTTGAATGTGTGTTGTTGTTGTTGTTTGTTTTTTTCAGTTTAATTTAGTGGATAGGATGGCCTAAGTGGATCAACAGATACCTTGTTGTCCTTAAACTTTATTATTTATGTTATGTTCACAGGTTAACCTAATCTTGTGATCACATATATACAAACTCCCTTATACCGACTACTAGATCAGACATCTTACATTTTACATTGTATTTTTCTGTAATAAACTTTTGCAGTTGCTTTTAATCATCTTATTTGAAAAATAATTTGTTGGTTGTCATATAGAGTTCTGGGTAATTTTGCTGTATATCGTGTAGTAATATTCTTTGAAACAGTAATTTTTTTTAAATCAGTAGCTTTGTGGGAATTTATCTTTCATTTATCATGTAGTTGCAATTATATATGATGCTCCACTTCATGCCTATAGCCTTGAAATTGTTTTTTACACACATTTAGGCACAATTTCTGTAACTTGTTGAACTACTTTTGAGGCATTATGAATTTGTGGCCATGAGCGTAAATCCGGTCTTGTTCAACCCTGAGCACTTTTTAATGTGAAATATCTCCTGAATCTTCTATTATTATATGTTATATTGTTAAAAGATCTGCATTAATGGTGCCTTTTCATGAGGAAGAGCTCGTAAACTCATTTCACACAAACAAGATTTCTCCTGTTGTATTTTAAATACATTGGAAATTCCAGTATATTTTTGCTACATAGTAATGCAAATTTAAAAAATTTTATTTTGACACTTTGATTCTTTTTGAAATTGTTTAGGGTAATAGTGAACCAATTTATTTTAATTACAACCATTGGTTTTGCCTTCCATTAATTTAAGCTCCTATTATGTGTACTTAATACTAGATATATACTGTTCCAAAATAGAATGACATTACATCATTAGTTAAGTTGCATACTTTTAGCTAATTATTTCCTTTGCCATATTAATGATTCTTGTTTGTTCCTTCTAAGTCTTATTATCATTGAACTTTTCAAGGCTAATTGCATGTACGTTTCAGCTTTTACAAAAGATTTAACTTTATTTATTTCCTGCTTAATATGTTTTTCAAGTAACAGAGGATAGTTAAATTTGGAGTTGTTGTGTTAGACACACCTTATAGGGTGTCTTTAACATGTTTTTCTTTATTACTTTTAACATTATTATATTTTCATTACCAGTATTGTGGCTATTTGTTGTACAGTTGTATTCATTTGATTTATTATTTTGTGTCTTCTTAAACATTAGTTTTTGGCTATACCCTTGGTAATGTCTTGCTACTTGACTCCATGCCTAAACAATAACATATGTCATAGTAATTCATCTCAGATGCTATGCTATTCTAAAATTACACTGTAAGAGCTGTTTAATGGGTTTTTATTGGTCACATAGTGTTTTTAAGGAGAATTATATAGTTTTCTTCTGCATGGTTATATTGATGTTACATCATTCAATGAACATTAAATTGGTGACAGTGTTTTAAGCCAACAGCTAGTATTTGTGTGTTCCATAAGTAAGGAATACCGTTATGTTTTCTATATTGTTACTTTCATTATGTCATTACTTTTTTACTTTTATTATAGACTGTTTTGCATTATTAGCTTATTATATGTAATTAAGACTTAAATGGTCATACCTTGTGAGGTATTATTGGGATTACAGCCAAAAATTTTATTAACAGTGATGGTACCCAACTGATAAAACAATACATTTTAATCTTTGTAACGAAGAACATAATGAAAATATACTTAATTAGCTATACTCATTACCATGTTGGTATTTGGTCTTGCCCTAAGTAAGTAGTCTGCTCTGATCGAAAGTTAATATTAATTAGCTTATAGCTAATCAAAGTATTAGTAAAGGCAGAACCAGATTAAGCAAAGGCACCTATCAATAATAGCAAAGGAAGTGAATCAGTTTTCTGTCATGAAATATACTTAATTCACTAGTGTTTCTCTGAGTTTCACTTATTTTAAGGTATTTACATAAAACTAAAAATTAAACCCTCAAAAGACACCAATTTTAAGATATTTAAATAAATCTATAAAACAGCTGAAAGTAAACACCAAGTTTTAAAAAAGATAAACACTGAAAAACAAAAGCCCTATACAACTATAATTATTGTAATAGGACAGGGGAGGGTCAATAGAAATGTTGAAAAGGTCTAACGCTTGACAAAAACCAAGAGAAGTATATTTAACATTAGAACTAAAAGTGTCCCTTTAGATTCTGTTGTTCTAAAATATTAGTTTCACAAGGGACTTTATCCCTTCCTTAGATAGGTACTGATTCTTGCAATTTTTACAATTTCTTCTGAATTTTCACGAGTAGGAACAGAATGTCACAAAAGTCTGAAGTTCCCAAATTCAGAGCATTGATCAATGAGACTACACTAACCTATATTTGGGATCATAATGCATTAAAAAATAATTGGGAGAAAGAAAATGTGTCATGCTATATTTAAATATATAAACTAGATCAATGTGTTTTTAACCAATAGTTCCACTGAAATAAAATTAAAAAAGAAGAAATAGAAAATCATGATTATGAAAATGCTTCTTGGAAAAATTTCTACAAACATACAAGAACATGTTTCTCCCATGTTTTATAATTCTAAACTATTATTCTGTTAAGTAATAGCATAGCAGTAGAAAATATCTTGTGTACTTTCAGCTCCATTAATAATTTTCAGATCACTTAATTTAAATAACATTTTAATAGGACATCCACAGGTGGCATATTAAATTGGCAGTGAATAGTAAAAAAGGAGTAAACTAAAAGGCATTTCAGTGTCAGTGGCTGTAAAGGATTACTTTTCATAGAAAATAGATTATCATATATAAATTGAACAGAAAATGAAGTGTGGAATAGAATTTAACTTAACAATAACATATATGGACCTTTTTTATGTGTAATTATTTTAATTAAATTGCAATTCAAGATAACTGAATATGAACTAATATCTCAGTAACAGAGAGAATAGTTCTTTTTAATATACAGTATTGGAAATAAGTATGGAAACACTGAATAAAATGCAAATATTATGGGATTGCTTCACCTCTACTGTATGAAAATGAACTACACCAGAGTACAGTCACATTTTGACAACTTACACCATGATGGCTATCATCCAACCAACCCAACAGTACCACACCAAAATATTGTTTACAAAAGTAAAAAACAGTCATACCATTTCTAAGCATTAGTGTGGTGAATGCACTCATGGCTCCCAAGACAGAAATGTCACATGAAAAATATATAGACACAAAGGTTTTGGTGATGAGTGCAATCTTATATTTCAGTAGGAGCTGTATGGAACCTGAAGAGATAAATGAAACTAGTACTTTTAATACTAGAGTCATTCAAGACAAAAAACCACAAATTCTTCAAAAGTGATGTTAAGTATCTCTGGATGTGCTTTTCACATGACACATGATAATTCAGAAGAGATCTTGTCAATAACTTAGCTGTAAATGCAGGGGTGAATGTTACCTCCAGAACAGTAAGATCACATTAAAGTGAAGTGGTCTTAATGACAATGTAGCTGCTCAGACATTGCTTGAGAGAGATAACCAAACCAAAAGGTTGGAATGAGCATCAGGCATCAAACAATGGGATGAGCAGAGCTCAAGCAGGTTGCTCTTTACAGGTGAATCCAAATTTAAACTGATTAACAACAATCAACATTTTGTTCAGTGGCAGAGGAGAATGATACCACAATCAGTTTATAAAGTATGCAGTGAAGCATTATAGGCGAGGGCTGCATGCAAGTCAGTAATGTTGGAAGTCTACACAAAATTGATGGCACCCTGGCTGCTGCTTACAACTACAACTAGATTCTTATCATGCCATTTCTTCAGGAACTAAACCTGTTGAGTAGGAATTCATCTTTCAGAGTAGGTCAAATAGTAACCAAGAACTTTTCTGAACTTTGGAGAGTTACAAAAGAACATTTCAAATAATGTTTCGAAATCAGACATTGATAAACTTATTAATGTTTGTATTTTCTGTAACAGTGTGCTGTATTAATATTAAAGTGACTATTTAATTGAAATTACTCATAAATTGTGACTCCTGTATGTGTATTGTGTGTTTCCATAAATCTTTCTAATACTGTTTGTTTTTATATTTAAAAATATTAATAAAATATTTTTAAAACATTCAAAAAGTCTTGTGAAATAATACTATATTTGATGATTTTTTTTAATTCCACAAACAATTGTCTTGTTTGTAAATGTGAGGTGTATTTTTTTTAATTTGCAAAAAAATTCCTACTCATTGTAAATCTTGTCTAAGATATATAGGTAATGTAGACTGTAACCCATCTTAAAAATTGCCTACTTGTTATTTTTAATATATGTAATTTATCTGCCAGTAGATATGACCCTTTTTTTTAATGTCTCTATTACTACCTGATTTGTTTGAATGAATCACCAGTATATTCATATTGAAGAACATAAGCCATTGGTTTACTGTAGAGAAATTATCAAGAAAGCAGAATATCTTGAAGACTGACTGAAAAGTGAAAGAATTTTAAACTTTGTTTGAGTAATCTCTTTTTTTAGTGTCTGTTCTCATAAATGCAAGTTAAATTCTATGAAAAAATGAAAGAAATCTTCTGTGTTTTAGAAATGAGAAGTTGGAGGAAATAAAGCTTAGACAATAGAGTTGGGACTTGGATAATTAACTTGTTCATGCTTTTATCTGTTTCAGTCAATCTTAAATGATGAAAGAATGTGTTTGTCCTTTGCACATTGTTTTGTTTGTTGCTGCTTTTACCCAACCAAGCGTGTCTTTTATTCTATAGGATGCAGTGAAACTCCAAAAAGTCATGCAGGGCAAGGCCAGGGACTTGATAAACATTCATATGAAGGTATTTGCTGCAGCTCTTGCTTTTCACCCTTCTTTTGCAACTCTTGCTATTACTTATTTTCTTCTCTCAGTTTGTTTGTGTTTATTTCTTGTGTCAACTTACCCAGCAGCTGTTTATTTGATTGCTTCTCAGGAAATACTTTTTCTACAGTGTCCAGATTAATCCAAACACAAGTAGTAGTATTAAATATGTGCTAGTTTTCTTTTCGTAGAACAGTTAAGTATTAATACAATTCTCTAAAGATGTTAAATGTATGTATCAAGGTCTCTTTTTTTTTCATGCAGTTGCTTATTTTGTTGCACTGCTACAAGGATCAAACATCTGTAATTAATTACATTGAGTGAAATAGATTTCTGTTTTTCATCCCTTGCAGCTGACTGATATTTTTGTGGTAGTAGTATTAATAGTAGTAATAGTAATCATAATTAGGAACTATTATTCTGTTTAAACTTATTTTTTTAATGATAGCTCGTGTGTTAGTTTCTTTCACTTTGAATAATACCATGTGCATTTGCATGGATGTATAGGATTCAGACAGTGATGGAGATGGTGATGATAGAACTCCTAAGAGAAAAGTAAAGAAAGGGTTTTTCATTACACCTGGTTCTGATGGAAGGAAGAGCAGGAGGATTTCTGAAGGAGAACTTCCATTGAAAAAGAAATTAAAGATATTATACAAGACACTTGTTGATTATGTGGTAAGTTAGCACATATATTGTGGCATTAAGTTTATCATATGTACATGTATGTTACTGCAATACCACAGTGCTTTACCATACTCTTAGATCATTCCACAAACTGATATAATTTGCATGTTTTATCTTACTATCAGGAACTGATTAACATTATAGGTAAGAATAGTAACTGCAGACAACAGGAGGAATGACAGAAAATGTTATGTGTAATTAAATCTGGATCTCTGACTGAAAGTTTGAAGAAAGAGATGAAATGCAGTGTAGAATAAAGTAAAAATGAATCTTTATTTCTTTGGCAGCTGTTGATCTTTGTGACCATGGTGTCCAATAAGAGGAAGTTGAGATGGCTTGGTCATATTAGGAGAATAAGTTAATACTGCATCTCCAAGAATATTTTTTGCAATGATAATCGAGATGGCTTTAGGAAGTAGTGTTGCCCTTTATGGCAATACTAAGATGTGTAAGAATGATGTGAAGTCATTTAACATCAATGTAGAATTCTAGGGGGTGTGCTAAAATTCCTGCACAATCTGGAACGAACATATAGCATTAGTTGCACCTCAACATGAGGCAGCTTTAACCCAGAGGATGAAAGTAAACATGGTATAAACTTGAATTCCAACACAAGGATCTGTGAAATATATAACAAGCTATGTCACTCTGGAATTGGCTTTGTCAGCCACAGGTAGACTCAAAGGCATATGGAATAATAGCAAACTATCAAGTAAGGTGAAGATGTGAATGTATAATACTATTATGCCATGGTTCAGAAATGTGGACAACACATGTTAGGTATATCATGCTTGCAAGAGATGAATGCATAAGATCATGAAAGTACAGTAGAGAGACAAAATACCAAACGAGGTGCTAAAGCATGCATGACTGACACATTTGGAAACCATTATGGGTGGGAGCTTCAAGGTTCGTGGCATGTGTAAAAACATTTTGCTTTAAGAAAGAAACACTTAATGAGAAGAGGTAATGTACTGTACCAAAAACATTCAAGATCAGGGCATTGGCACTAATTAAATCTAGTATTGAACATGTGTAACAATCTTTAAAGAAATCCAACACACTGAGTCTTATCACAGTGCTGACCTTGATGCTGACCATGTCTTAGTCTGTTGCAAAATTAGAATCAATGCCACAAATAAACTTTGAAATTCACTGATTCAAATGCGTCTCGTATGCAAATCATCATGCAACAACTTTTCACCAATAAGAGTGTAACATACTCTCTTGATGCATGTGACTCCCTCTTTTCAATTCTACCAAACTATCACTTCTCGCTTAGTAGTACTCGTAATGTTTAGTTTGTGCTCTCTTCGAGTGTTTTATTTTAATTTTTCAGTATCTTTTTATTAATTTCTATCAACAGGTTTACTGAAATAAAATAATTCCAAAAGCACAACAGTCTTATCTTTCCAAAGTCGGCAGACTGTATGTTAACATGTGTGGTCCCCCAAACTCGAGGCAAGGCCCATCGAAGGTCAGCTCATTGAAGTAAAGCCAAAAGTCTTCCCACGGAGTACCACTACCTGAAGCCTGCATAAATGTTCTGATAGAACACATAACCTCCAAAGTGGTAATGCAGAATTCATAATGCAAAATTAATAACCAAACACAACTGTTGGCATAAAGAAATAAAAAGTTTTTGAATTTTAGTAATATGTTCTGTAACCGGGTAGAAATATAAAATAATTCCACTTCAGAATAACTCAACAAGTTACAAATATCACTATTGTATAATAAAGAAACTGTAAAATAACAAACACATGTTAAGCTTAATCAAACAGTGCAGGACAAAGGATATCAGTAAGCTCTAAAATAAAATTCTTAACCTAATGATAAGTATGTACAATATTGGGAGAAGTTAGTGCAGACCCCTAATCACGGGTTCCCCACAAACCAAGTTAATATGAAGAAGTATAAAAGATAAATAATAATGAAAATGAAATAAACATTAATTTATAAAATAAAATAAGTCTGTATTAACAATAACCTATGCATGAGACGTGACGTATGGAAGAAAAACTATAGAGTTAAACAAATGATTGATATACCAGTAAGATGAATTATATGTAATCCTAAAATAACAAAGCACCCTGGTATCAGCGGTATTTCCAACCTGAACTGGACAATCAGTATCGACCAATGTAATGAAACTTATGTTATAGAACTCAATTAACTACAGATAATAATACTTACCTGTGGTTCTACTTACGGGTTAATTGATAGTTAGGTTAACTATTTTGTTTCCTTCAACACAACATGTATTACATATATTTATTTTATTACACAATTTCTTACCATTAATTTCGTTAATTTATAATCTATACTTCTTACCCTTAATTTTATTTCTGTGGGCCCCTGAGGGCTGAAGTTCTCCCTGCCTGCTCCCAATATTACTCGCCTTCCTCCTATAATGGCTGAACCCATTTCAAATGGCCCAGATTTTGTCAGTTTTCCTCCACCTTATCATGGATTGCATTCCAGGCCTGTACTGCTTGGCCTATCTCGTTTTTTTTATATATATATATATATATATATGAC